TCTGATTATATGCTATATTAAGGTGTTTTCTGAGCAATAGTTTTTTTGGGTTATTTTTTACACCAAAAATTACCAATCAATGTATTGAGAAGAAAAATGAGAATTCACCACTAACTTGGATGCTAATACAGTAGTCCCGGCTTATCCTCAGGATGTGTTCCAAGACCCCTAGTTGATGCCTGAAACCACAGGTAGTACCAAAAACTCTATATACACTATGTTTTTACCTACACATACCTATGATAAGGTTTAACATATAAATTAGGCACAGTAAGAGATTAACATCAATAATAATAAAATAGAACAGTTATAACAATATATGTAATAGAAGTTATGTGAGTGCTTTGGGACCATTATTAAGTAGAATAAGGTTTACTTAAACACAAGGACTCCGAGGCCGCGACAGTCTGATAAATGAGTTGGCTACTCAGGGACTAGTAGGTGGGTTGCATATACAGTGTGTATGTGCTGGACAAAGGGATGGTTCACGTCCCTGGTGGGATAGAGGGGGACCCTGCCAGATCTCATCACATTACTCAGAATGGCACACAACTAAAAACACCAATTGCTTATTACTGAAATTTTCCACTTAGTATTTTCAGACCTGGTTGACCACAGGTAACTGAAACCGCAGAAAGTAAAACTATGGGTAGGGGGTGGGGAGCTGCTGTATAATGAAATTGTTGAAACCTTCAAGTGCACTGGGTCTTATTTGCTAGATTGTTTGTATTTCCCCAAAGCTGTGCAATATTTTTGTCTGTTTTAAACACTGTAGTGGGATTTACTTATTTATTTCTAAAATGGCAAAGCGTCACTTATCTCTTGATTCTCTGGCCAAAAAGTTTCCAACATGTATCGCCAGTTTATAGAGACAGTGATATGACCTGTTGATGAGTATTGAGCCCAAACTTCCGGAAAGTATTATGGAGAACTGAACAGTGCTTCGAAAGCCAAGGGTTTCTCTGTTCATTTTGCTTATCTGAGCCATCTCTGTCTTCATGTCTCACATAAATTGTGAAAGTTACTTGCCATGACTGTCTTAGAAGCTAGATCTGTGTCACAAGGTCTGGTTGAGTGTGGCCTTGCAGTAACCTTGCTTTTATGCACATAATAAAATAGTCAGCACTATATGCCTCAGCATTGCATTCCATGAAACACTCTTTGGAAAGTGTTTTAAATTTTTATTTCTATTTTATATGCTTGGACTGATAGCAGCCACATTTCACGTTCAAAGGAAGGAAAGAGAGAAATTACACTTGTGGAGTGTCTTCTTATTTCACTTAGTCCTCAGAATGGCCCTGTGAGTGAGATATTATCATTCCCACTTTACAAATGTGGGCCAGGGGTGCTTGCATGGCTGATCAGTGATAGACTTGGATTCCTACCTAGATGGTCCCTACTCCATAGGCATGCTCTTTCCTCTACCCAGTTTTACCTTCCTTAAAATCCTAAAGCTGGAAGGAGCACTAGCGGTGATTTATTAAAGATTAAATAACTTGTTCAGGATTATCAAAGAAAATAGTTGGGGGAAGGCAGTTCTTGTATTCGGGTTAAGGTGAGAGAGTGGTCCACAAGTTTTATCCATTGAATGATCAATTTTACCCAAGTACTAAACCAAGTGACATTCCTCAGCTTAACTTTGATAAATGAATCATACTCCTTTGAAAATAACTTGTAGTTCATGCTCTAAAAAAAGAACCACCTCTACAATTTTGAAAATTATTCCTTTTAATGGCAGTGAAAACCTTTGGCTTTTATAGACATCAGCAGCAGAGATGTTCGCTGATGAGCACCTGTGAGCTTTCTCAAACTCAGTATCTAAAAATAATGATGGGAACAGACAAAGCGACACCATATTTTTTGACACATTTAGTCAAAAACTTAAAACTTCCTGTGGAGGTAAGCAAAGTGGAGGGCATGAAAAATGACCAAAATGTACTAGTCACACTTGAACCTGCTTTTGCCCACCGCTATATTTATTTGCCCTCCCTGCTGAGATGGCTCACCTTTGTTAGCATTTCATCCAGAGCCAGTTTACTAAGCCCATGCACAAATTCGCACCTCATGTGGACTTCCATAACAAATTTTAACTTGATACAATTATTTCTTTTGAAAATGGAACTTTTTCTTTTTCCAAATTAAAAATTAGCCTCGTGCTTGCTTCGGCAGCACATATACTAAAATCAGAACGATACAGAGAAGATTAGCATGGCCCCTGCGCAAGGATGATGGCATGCAGATTTGTGAAGCGTTCCATATTTTTTAAAAAGATATATTTTATTGATTTATTACAGAGAGGAAGGGAGAGGGATAGAGAGTTAGAAACATCGATGAGAGAGAAACATCAATCAGCTGCCTCCTGCACACTCCCTGTTGGGGATGTGCCTGCAACCAAGGTACATGCCCTTGACCAGAATCGAACCTGGGACCTTTCAGTCTGCAGGCCAGCGTTCTATCCACTGAGCCAAACCGGTCAGGGCCATATTTTTTTTTTAAAGAAAAAAAATATTAGCCTCAAAAGGCATTTACCAGGATCGAGAATTTTAAAACAATGAAAAACCCAAACAAACGGGCTTTCATTCCACAGTGGAGATTCAGAGATGTTTTGCTCTTTGTCAGCAGTGTTGGAAAAAACATGTAACCACCTAAAATGAGCTATTTGAAGGGACCACGCTTAATTGGTCGGATGTGTAAATTCTGATTAGTTTTAAAAAAATAATAATTTTTAAGTATAGTGTTCAGTGTACATTCACACTGTTGGGGCAGCCATCACCACCATCCATCTCTAAAAGTCATCTTGTAAAAGTGGAACTTTGTGCCCATTAAGCAATAATTCCCAATTCTGCCTCCCTCCAGCCCCTAGCAACTGCCATTTTACTTTGTCTCTATGAATTTACTACCTGATGTAGCTGTTCAGTTTTTCTTTTTTTTTTTTAAATATATTTTATTGATTTTTTACAGAGAGGAAGGGAGAGAGACAGAGAGTCAGAAACATCGATGAGAGAGAAACATCGATCAGCTGCCTCCTGCACACCGCCCACTGGGGATGTGCCCGCAACCCAGGCACACGCCCTTGACCGGAATCGAACCTGGGACCCTTCAGTCCGCAGGCTGACGCTCTATCCACCGAGCCAAACCAGTTTCGGCCAGTTTTTCTTTTTTAAGTCTCCTTTCTATTTAGCATTAAACTCATATACCATTTCCTGAAATAAAGCCAATAGAAGTTAAATTAATGAAAACTAACTAGAATTTTTCCTGAGTTCTGCTTTCTTTCCAAGGCAGAGTATGACAAGATGGATCCATATCCATATTTTGGGTGGCATTGATGACTCAGATAATGACCTATACCTTTGCAGCAACAACTGAAGTGCTTGAAAATTTAAATTCAGGGGTACCTAATACTATCTTGTCATCTAACAGAAAAGTACATTTTTGTTTAAAATACTAAGATAGGAAAAAGTACCTGGTATTTTAGAAGCATTTCAAACAAACAAGGTTGGCACTGACAAGTGTTCTTCTATTAACATAGAAGACAGAATATTTGATTAATGATAATCCTTTATTCCTGTCCCAGGAGGAAATAGATATTAATTGGACCCTTTTTCTGAATAAGGAAGTGTAGTTAAATGTGAGTTTTTTAAGGAATATTTTTTAAAATATCCTCAACCGAAGATACGTTTTTATTTTTAGAGGGAGAGGAAGGAAGAGAGAGAGAGGAACATCTATGTGAGAGACTAACATTGATTGGTTGCCTCCTGTACGTGCCCTGATTGGGGATCGAACTCACAACTTTTTGGTGTATGGGATGACACTCCAACCAACCCACCCAGGGCTAAAATCTTATTTCATTTTATTCTTTTAGGATTTTATAAATGTTTAACTTAGGAGAACAAAATAATTTCAGTCATTTAATTTTGTTACATTTTCATTCTTGTCCAATTTTCTTAGTGATGTCTATAGATAGAGTTTTTAACTCACTAGCTGACAACCTGGATTTCATTCAATTTTATGGGATGATGGTCCTGCCACTGTCAAGAAGTTTGTTCCATGCACTATCCAAGAAAATAATGGGATCTAGAAACATGTTAGTCCTGCATTTCGATCCAGCCTGAGAGCATTTTCCAGTGTGTCTGGGCAACGTTACAGGTGTATTTAACCTCTAATGCACCTGAAATATTAGACCCTTGTAATACAGAGTCATAGAAAACAAAACCCTTGTTAAACCAGTCATTAGCTATTAAACAAAACAGAGAAACAACACTGGATGGATGTTTGAGAAAACAAGACGTAATCACTGGCTTGTATGGACAGGTAGTTCTGAAAACGGGCATGTCTTCTGAAATGTGTTAGTTCCTTATGGGCAGTGCCCTGGTGACATAGTTCTCCATGAAGAACATTTTGCTGAGTTTGCCGTGATCTGAAATTATGATGCTGCTGCTGTGGATGAAAAGACTAATGCGGCCCCTTGATATCTTTTCACACATATCCATCATTCTGGTCATTCAGCCTCCATAAAAGTGATGCAGTGGATAAAAGTGGTTTATCAATATTTTAAAAATGCTGTGAAAATGGATGGTTCTTTTGTTCAATGAGACAGGTTTAAAGATATGAAATATGGTTATTGAATTCCCTCCCTCCCTTAAGTGCAGAGAGTAGGGTCACTGGAATTACATTCAATCAGTAGGGTACAGACTGTACCGAATGTGGGGGAGACCCACACCCTGAACCATTGAAGGCCATGATGAATGTTCATTTTTTTATATTATGTTTTTGCTGCTCATTAAGAGGCACCGTGTCCAAAATGAAAAACCTTTAGATTCGGGATTCAATAGTTCACTTCTTTTGGATTGTGCCTGATGGGAATTTGGACACCGCCGAGTGTAATTATGTTTTTCAGCAATGTGACTTGTGGGGCTGCAGATATGGGTGTGCTTCAGCGATTTCTTGCCAAGATCTGGCTGAAAAGGAGCTGGGTGGTTGTTTTTTAAAAATATAGTAATTAGGCTATTAGTTGTTCAAATGGAATAATTCCCTTAAGCCTTTTCAAGAAAAACACTTCCAAAAAGGTCAAGTGCATTTAAAATTAGCCATTATTTATGTAGGTGTTCAGCCTTTTGCCCACAACTCCTCCAGGAGTTGTTTCTTTTTGGAAAAAAAAAAAATGTTGCTTGTGTCTGTCAGAAATCGTACGATTTTTCAAAGAGGTTCAGAACTGGTTCTTAGGTCAAAAGCAGCCAAATCCCTGGCTTCACAGAAGGTTCATCATAGAGTCATCTCTTTGTCATCTGCGGAATGCTACCCTGAGTGTTCCCCTGGCCTTTGGACAGTCTCTTCTGTGGACCTGGAGAAGGAGCTGGCAGGGGCCTTACCGGCCGCTCAGACGGAGAAAAATTCAGAACAAAGTAAAAAAGAGGCAGCGAATTGTGGGGTTGGATTGGAGCCCAGGCCTGTGTTGCTGACCTCTGGGCTCAGATCTGCCCTGGGATGGAACCCGCTCACCCGATGCAGACTCCTGATGGCACGCCACCGCCCTATGCCTCCCCCACGACACACCCTCTGGGTGTGTCTCATCTTCTAGCTGGAAGATCGGCTTTCTTTCTGTTCTTATTGGGCCTTTTTGAATTGCAAATCAGCCAAAACTGACAGCGGTCACATTTTAAGTCCTGGTAATTGCCCCAGCTCCCTCAGGGAGTTTCATCATTGTAAAGAAGTATAATTACTTCCAAACGTTATTTTTCTTTCATTTTCTCTCTCTACCCTTTCCTTTAATTAAACACTTTGCATTTTATCACTTGTGATGTCCTATTTGGGTTTTCTGGTGTGGGCTGGTGCAGTATAGTGAGTGTGAGCATGGACTTAGAACAGCAGTTCTCAACCTGTGGGTTGCGACCCCTTTGGGGGTCGAATGACCTTTTCATGGGTCGCCTAAGACCATCGGAAAACACGTATATAATTACATATCGTTTTTGTGATTAATCTCTATGCTTTAATTATGTTCAATTTGTAACAATGAAATTGGGGGTCACCACAACATGAGGAACTGTATTACAGGGTCGTGGCATTAGGAAGGTTGAGAACCACTGACTTAGAAGAACTGGCCGAGTCCTTGCTGTGTGATAATCCATGAATTGTTTTAGGAAGACTCAATTTTCCCATGCCTCAGTTTCCCCAGCTTTCAACTACTTCTCTTTTTGACTCCATCAAAGACTGATCACGTGAGATATGGAGCCTACACATGTAAGGGGTGATGATAATTGCCCATCTGTGGGTACTGCATGAATACCTAGTAAACATGCATTCCCTGAGCTATGCACAAAATGATCATTGTCTCACACTTTAAACCCCTTTATTTTAGGGGGACCACCTAGTACACTTGGAGTGTCTACTTTCCACATGGCTCATGGGAAGGAATTCTAAGGTAGATACCCAGAGGATCTGAGTTTGCAGAGTGGAAATGTTATGTTATAGTAAAAAATGGATTAATTTATTTCCAGCCCTGCAGGGGCTATGAGTTGCTTCTTAAAATTTTACTTTCCATCACCGTGATGTTTACTAGTATGTTGCTATGGTGGTGTGTCTCTTGCTTGGGTGTCAAGATTGACATTGAAAATAGATAGGCCAAAATAACAGCTTAACAGGTGGCTGTACTTTGTGATGTTTGTAAAACTCTTTTGCAAAGAAGTCTAGTGCAAGTAAATCATGCAGCTGTGCCCTCTTTTTTTTTTTTTTTTTTTTTTACAGTCCTCTCCTTCCCATATTATATATAGACTTCCCGCTTCTTTTAAGCAGTGCCATGCCGATTTCCTGCAGTAACCCAGGGAAAGACTTTAGCTCATTTTATTTAGCAGTGGATATCCTTTCCTCATTTTATGTAATTGGAGCTTCTTCCTAAAAATAACCCTTCTTTTCTTAATGTGATTCTTTTTATAGCTGATGTACTCTTTATTTAAACGGAAGGCCCCTTTTTAATGTGCCATGTACACATACATATAGATTCATACACAGATATACATATATTTGTATTTCTTTGTAGGCATAATCCTTAGTGAATGTGGTAGTAGAAATTGTTTTCCAATGACCTGTCGTTAAGCCTTTACTTATTTATGATCATTTTTTTTCCTTTTAGATAAAATCATAGAAAGAATCCAAGTGTTAAAACAGTTCAGCTTCCTACACCCTGTCCCAATCCTTTCTATAATAATCTTGCATAGTGATCATCTTGCCATTCAGCTTAAGCACCAGCATGGGAGGGTGCTTGCTCTTTTGAGGTATGACCTCTTCTCTGATTGCCCTCTGCGTTTAGAAGACACTTTCTTATGCTTCGTTGATGTCTGCCTCCCTAGAACTTTCATGATCGTTCCTCTTTTTTTCCCTCTAGAGTGACACAACCATTTCCATATGCTGAGTCTTTAAATATTTAAAGACATGTCATCCTTTGGTTTTATCTTCTATGATTTCATATTCACAATTCCCCCAACTATTCACTTTATGAAATAAATGGTTTCCAGATTCCCATCTCATTCCAGTGGTCCTCCTTTGATACTGCCCTTTAAAAAACATTGAACAGCCTGGCCAGTGTGGTTCAGTTGGGTGGGTGTCGTCCTGTGCACGGAAGAGTTGCTGGTTCCATTCCTGGTCAGGGCACATGCCTGGGTTCCCGGTTCGATTCCTGAACGGCGTACGTTTGGGAGGCAACTGATGGATTTTTCTCTCTTACTAGTACATCCACATTTCTTTCCCTTTCCCTTCTTTCTCTAAAAATCAATAAAACATATCCTCAGGTGAGGCTTATACATTTTTTAATTTATGAACACTGAAATTGGAAATTTATATAATTTTCACATGTCACAAAATATTACTCTAATTTTGATTTATTTCAACCTCTTAAAAATGCAAAACCGTTTGTAGCTCTTGGGCCATACAAAGGCAGGCATGGGTGGGATTTGACCCCAGGTATTGGAGGGCCAGTAGGGAAAACACGGAACTTACTTCAGCACCTTATGCTTTGGAGATGCTCTAGCATCATCGGCATTGGTGGTCAGGCCTTATCCAGGAGATCTGCTGGTACTGCTAAGTCTCTTTTTCCAGTGTGTATGAAATCTACCAAAAACAGCAGCCTCATAGCAACAGCAAGCATTACCACAGGACTTTTAAGTGTAAATGCGATGAGTAGCATCTGCTGATTTCCAATTTGACAAAATGTTTTTGATTCGTGCTTCTGTTATTTGATCATGTTAGCTGCTCCTCTTGGCTGAGTGGCAGATGTGGTTAGCATGTCCTTCTGTCTTTATGTGACTTTCCAGTGACATCTCAATCCTAAAATATAGCTCGTAACTGCCTACCTTGGTTGCAGAAACCAGTATGCATTTGGGTGTAGAAAGGAAGCCTTCAATTATATTAATAAGCTTAAGAATGGATTATGCTCTACTTCCTCATTACTTTTAATTTTTAAAATAAGGTTTTCATTAGGTATTTTTGAAGCAGTTTAACTAAGATTATAATTTAGCACGTGGAGGAGAAAATTTAGTAAATGGTGAAGCCACTTGTTTTTAGTGTCTAAGCATTTAATTAAAATGATATATTTGTCTATGAGGGCGTTTGGTTAGCAAGGCTTTGCTTTGCCGGAGGAAGGGAAAACGCAGAGGGCCAACGTCAGTGGAACATTCCAGTGTTCCAGGACCTCTGTGTTAGTTATCTCCTGTCATCCTTGCCGCCATCCGCCAAGGCGCATGCTATTATTTTTATTTTTCAGATAGGGAAATTGAGGCTCACAGGATCTGCCAAAGGCACGCAGTTAGTCAGTGGCAGAGCTGAGTCAAGCCCAGGGTTCTTCGGCTACAAATTCCACTTGTGTTCTCCAACAACACCATTGCTTTCTATAGCCAAAGGGCAGCTCACAGTCATTCCTGGGCAAGTTAATCATATCAATATAGACAGTTGATCCTAAAATGGCTATCTATTTCTAAATTATTTATTGAAACAATACATTTCGGAGTATATGTCCCAGAATCTGTGATATAAAATAAGAATATTAATCTTCTTAATGAAAACAAGAGCGTTCAAGTTCAGATTATTTGCATTTGCCAAATTTTAGTGAAACTAGAAACATAGATACAATTTTAGATTACGTTAAAGCTATTATAAATCATGAGGGAAACCTTGATTGTTTTTAGAAAGCTTCTGTGTTTATCTAGTCTGTATCTTGCAAAAAAGCACTTCAAGATGTCATTATATAAATGTTCTAATAGAAACTAAGAGAGCCTAGATGAGAATGTGTGATAATCTAAAGATATCATTTAAGTCAGGGCTTTAAAAACACATTACTTCCAGTGAGAAAGGAAGTCTTGTAGGCATGCTCTAATTTCACCTCTATCTGAGTCCTTAAAAGCAGATTTCTAAGAGGGAGATGAAACAGATTTTCAGAATAAAATGTTGAAGCTGCTAAAGTAAAATATATTTCATATTATAATTGCTTAATTGTGTGAAATGGGTGCCTTAATAATAGTTGGTGCTGAGATTATTCTGTGAGGGAGCTGGTTGGTGGCTGCTCATGGTTTAGATTATGAGCTCCTCGGAGGAAGGTGATTGTTACCGCCTTTTTTTTTTTTTTTAACTCCCCACAGTTCGTTTTATGGTGCTTTGCACATGGTGGTTGCTTAGTTGAGGTTGATTACTACCTAATGGTCATTTAAGTTCAGATATAATTTTTGTACTGATTGTGGCTTGAAAAATGGGAAAAAATTACTCTTTAAAAATTTTGATTTTATTAACTATTGAATAGGTATGAAGCCATACACCCATGAACCCATTGCCCCTCTTAATAAGTAGGATGCGCCCTGGCTGGCATGGCTCAGTGGTTAGAGCCTTGGCCTGCACAGAGAGGGTCACAGAAAGTCACAGGTTCCATTCCCTCCCGGTCAAGAGCACAGACCTGGGTTGCAGATTGGATACACCCCTTTACCCCTCCTCACCTCACCCCTGTTGGGAGTATACAGGGTGCAACCAATTTCCCCTCCCCCGTCCCTCTCTCTCATTGTCTTTAAAAATCAATCGGAAAAAATAAGTAGGATGAAAGAAGTTCATTTAACACTTTATATGCTCCTCCCTGGATCCCAGGCTCTCTCTGCACATGACATTAGAGAGAATGTAGTCTTTAACAGCTTCCTGTTTCTTTCTATTCAAGGTTCATGTTGAAATATAATTCACATACTATAACATTCACTCTTTTAAATATATTACAGATAAGTAGTTTTTCGTATATTCACCAGGTTGTGCAACCATCACCACTATCTAATCCTAGAACATTTCTTTCACTCAGAAAGAAACCCTGTACTCATTGGCAGTCACTTCCCATTCTCCACTTTCCCCAGCCTTTGGCTACCACTAATTTACTTTGTATCTCTTTATGGATTTGCATATTCTGGACATTTCATATAAATGAAATCATATAATATACGGCCGCTGTCACTGGTTTCTTTTCCTTAGCATAATATTTTCAAGGTTCATCCATGTTGTTGTATGAATCAGTACCTCATTTCTTTTAATGGCTGAATTTCCTTGTATGGATATACTACATTTTGTTTATCTAATCATCAATTGATGGACATTTGATCTACTTTTTGGCTATTATGAATGCTGATACTGCTAACATTCATTTACAAGCTTTTATTTGGGCACCAGTGTTTAATTCTTTTGGATATGTACCTAGGGGTGGAATTGATGGGTCATCTAAAAATTCTGTTTACGTTCCCACCAGCAGTGGATGAGGGTTCCAGTGTCTGCACATCC